AGGCCGCGACGCCGGCACCGCGCGGCGCTCTGGGCCCCGCGTTCCAAGGACACGGAGGGGCTGGAGCGTGTCCAGGGAAGGGCAGTGAGGGTGGGGAGGGATCTAGAGCATAGGTTCTCTGAGGAGAGGCTGAGGGAGCAGCGGGTGTTCGGCCTGGAGAGAGGAGGCTGAGGGGAGACCCTGACACTCTCTACAGCTCCCTGAAGGGAGGGGGTAGCCAGGTGGGGGTTGGTTTCTTTTCCCAGGTGATAGAACAAGAGGAGATGGCTGCACGTTGTGCCATTGGAGGCTTGGATTGGGTATTAGGAAAAAATGCCTTTAGTGAAAGACACTGCCCAGGGAGGTTGTGGGGTCTCCTTCACTGGAGACATTCAAACCCACCTGGACACGTTCCTGTGTGATGTGCTCTGGGTGACCCTGCTCTGGCAGGGGGGTTGGACTAGGTGATCTTTCGAGGTCCCTCCCAGCCCCTAAGATTCTATGATTCTATGAAAGGGCTGTCAGGCACTGGAAGAGGCTTCCCAGAGAAGTGGTGAAGTCGCCGTTCCTGGAGGTATCTACGTGACTGGAAGATGTGGTGCTGGGTGATGTGGTTCAGTGGTGGAGTTGGCAGTGTGCTGAGTTAATGGTTGGGCTTGGTGATCTTCAAGGTCTTCCAACCAAAGCAATTCTATGATACTGTGATCTACAGCCACCTGTGTTACATTCTGCCATGGTCAACTAAATGCATTGGGGGAGCACTGTGCAGGAGCACTGGCTGGTCTGGACTGCACTGCAGGCAGGGTAACACTGGGAATCCTAATCACGAGGGAATCCAGAACAGTCTTTTTTGAAAAAAAGAGATGCTCAAAAGGCCTTAAAGCATGTTGGTGCAAGAAGGTAGTGCAGCCCTTTTCTGCTGGAAGTCTGTAGGTGAACAGCAGTGGGACCCAGGCATTCCCACTCCCAATTCCTAGCCCATGTCTGCTGGGTGAATACTGCTTCTTTACATTAAACAGAATGAAAAGTTTATTTTTTACTAAACGTGAGACAAAGCATATTGTAGAGAAATAGGGAGCTCTAGTCACCTGGGCTTTGAAGAGTTCAGAGAAAGAAGTTACAGTTTTACAATTGCATTTAAAGGTGAACTTTGTGTGATGGCCCTTTTCTCCTTTCATCAGGTAAAATTATAAATCTGAAAATAGGTATGCCTTCAGAAGAGACACTGAGATAGCCACATCAACAAATCCTTTGCATTTGTTTTGATAAATTGCAGCCATCCTGTAATATTTAAATATTTAAACATGAAAATGCATAACAAGAACTGGGGAACTATTTTATTTCAGTAGGTATCAGAGAAAACCGATTTATGAAGTTGAAACCATTATATCCAACAATTTGGTTGTTAGGCTAGGAGAAGGACTGGATGGTCTGTGGAGGCCAAGGTATGTTTTGCCAATAATATGCACATTGAAATTGAGGGATAATTGCTGTGCGTTCTTTGTAAACTGTACAGTTTTGTAGGAGTCAAACCTCTTTGTCCAAAGCAAGCAATATATTCTTGAATGTATTGTGGAAATACACATTAGACATTGCCCTCATCGGAAAGAATGTGTCATAACTTATGAATAAACTAGTTAATCTGAGATGAGATACTTATGGCCAACTAGCACACACACTTATCTAACAAAAAAGGTCCAACACACAGGAAAATCTGCCACACAAGACATGCAACCCTATTAAAATTTAAGGTACCTGTTGCACTAATAGCATACTTTGCACTTCGTTAGTTAGTTACTCTGTATAAGGGGGAGGTGAACCTCCCATTTCAATTTCTCTTAATAAATCTTGCTTCTTCATAAGAATATTATAATGTTAAGGTTTGCTTAGAGATTTCAAGCAAGTTCACTGCAGAAAGAAAGTAGACTTTGCTGCAAGAATGTCCAAGGAAAATGTGCTCAAGAAACACCTTGAGTCAAGCTTCAAGAATGTAAGATACTATTTCTCCATTGTTTTCTAAGACTTTTGAATCTCTATGCAAATGTAATAAAACAGGTCTTTAAAACAATTAAGTAAGCTTTAACCTCATTTTACAAAGCAGGATTAAATGTGCAGTAAAACGTCAAATGAAGAACAAGTTGAACCTAAAATCTTAATTATCTTCTGAGCTCAACTCTTTAACCCAAATTTCCCATGTAATATGCTAATTTTTTCACTCTTTCAGAAGTACTTGTATTCCAGATATATTCAGTATGAAATGAACTACATATGATTTCCCTTCCTGTTAACTTGTTTCACATAAAGGTAGATAGTTAAAATAGTATCTATCTTCCCATGTGTTATGACCTATATTTGCTCTACTACATTCAGTTGTTTGAAAGCTGCCTTTTGCCACAGGTGGAGATTCCAAAATTTCCTCTGTAACCATTGTTACCAGTCCAAGACAGCCCACATGTGCTCTTTGGGTATGGACCTTGGCTGTTCTATGGGACTCCAGAGCACTTTGCTCCCATCCATTAATGTAAATAATAATTAACAGTAGCAACTGCACTTTGTGAATGTATTTACACAATTGCTCTTTTAGCTTCAGAGATTTTCTGACTATGGATAAACATACAGAGTTTCTAAAATGCTGAAGATGTTCTTAATCCAGCTGAATTTGGGATTTTTATACCTCTGACATTGCTGTTTGCCTTCGCTGTAAACAGATGTGAAGCTGAGGTCACATCATCTACAGTAGCCAGCCTTATCACCTCATTATTATACTTTGCTAAGTAGATTTCTCAAGCAAGTAAGGAAAGACACCATATAACAACTTGTTGCCTCTTAGGCAACACTTGCTGCAATTGCTGCAAATACTAACTATGAGTGAAGCCTGTTATGTCGTCTCCTATGTGGTGATCAATGAGTTCCTCTTTTTTTTCTAGCTCTGTGCTCAAGTGTTTACTTGAAAGTATATGATACATGTGAGCCCAACCCAAAAAACATGAAATCTACACACATAGAAAAAAACTGTCAGGAAAACAGAGAAGGCAGTTAGTTCTGCATTTTAAATAATACAGTGTGGTTATCAATTCTTCTTTTTCGTGAGCTAGAGAAAATCAAGGAGGAATGGATGATTGATAGCCTTTTGCAAGAGAGAGCTCACAGGGGGTTACTCTGGTGTGTGCTGGGGAACAGACATAGAAGACAATACTGTAGGAGGAATGACAGGGCAAGCAGTGTTGAAGGAAGATGTAATAGATATCCGTACAGGAATCAAGAGAACTTAAAGAAATTTAGAAAGGATGGTAAAATCAAGATGAACAGATTTTTGCATACAAGTGCAGTGTTTGCAGTATCTGCATATCATTAGCTTATTTTGTGTCCACAGGCCGTCCACAAAAGAGTATTTTGTATTTGAACAAATAAAAAAGAGTAAGTAAAGTTAGTCTTGTCATCCTGTCCAGTAACCTTGTACTTGAGCCTGGGCACAAACCAGCTCTGTAGGTTCTGTTCTGAAGCAATGAACTTATGTTCAAAAATGAGCACTGTGTGTGAACTTCACTTTTTAATAAAGTTTATGATAAAGCATTTCTGCTTCCATTCTTCTTTCATGCCAGATTTTAGTGAGAAGAACTGAGTTCTCTGTCAGACAGAACATGGGTATTTGAAAAATCTTGTCTCAAATAGCTTTATATCCTTCTGTTTGTTAATTGTATTTTTAAAAAAGTCAAAGCTAGCTTCATTCTTATTCACTGGCAGTACCCACTTTCCCCTTCCTGATCAGCTTAAACTGTATCTGTTTGTAATGTTACATAAGATATTTTCTTTCTTGTGTCTTCTGAAGAGAGAAATGTACAGTTTGCGTTTGTTCCTTTTCAGCATTCAGAATGGCTTCTCCAGCTCTACTCATGCGTGTGGTCGCCTCTGCCTATTCTGTTGCAGAAAAAGCTGCAACAATTGTGAGAAGTGTAATGGCTGGAGGAGACCTGGGCATAGTGGAGAAGGTACTACTTTCATTTTGTTCCAGTTTAATTCTTTTATTAATACCAAGTTAGATACAGGTCAAAGTGGTATTTTTGAAGATCAGCAACTGGGGAAGGAAATACAAACAATGCTCAGCTCTCTGATACAAGAAATATTCCTTATTAAAGGATTAAAAGAGCACTGCAGAAGTGTCTTTTGACCTGTATTTCTAAACAATATCCAGACACTTAAAATAAATATACTGTAATTGTCCTGATTCCCCTTACAAAACACAAGCTTTGCATAGTATGTCAGAATTCATAATAATGTACCCTTCCCATGAATTTCCATACCTATGTTCTAACATCTGTACAATACAGGTTGAAGAACTGTGGCCTTGATGAATTTTGGATTAGGATGAATTGGCATTTAGTTTCTTAAAACAGAAAAGAACCTTAGATTTTATTGTAAATCACAGTTTAATTTTTTTTTTTTAACTTTAAGTTATTGTAAATCACAGTTTAATTTTTTTTTTTAACTTTAATTCTAAATAGAAAACAGAAATGAAATTATAATTATCTGCATGAAAATCTTAATTTGCTATAAGTTAGTAAGAGGCATTGCTGAGCCAGGCAGATCTTTGTGTTGACCACAGTACTAGAACAGGTGGAATTAACTTTTGAACTTAATTCTAGCTTTACAGGTATGTCACAATATTATCAACTACATTAAGTCTCTATGTTAATTTTCGTCACTACATTGAAGTAAATGCTGATATTTACATTTTTCTGATAATGAGCACTTTCAGCTATTTGTGAAGAAAAAGCCTGATACTTCATGACTTCTATTGTCAGTTCAGACAGAAGATGCAAGAGTGCTCTTTTCTCCATTTGGCCAGTTATATTCACTGCTACAAAAACATTTGCAAGTTTTTCTTACTCTCTTTTTTTCCTAAGCAATTCAAATCAGGTGTATGGGAGAGAGAATTAAAAAAATGCAATGGTATGTGTTTTCAAAAGTACTTAGATGCATAACAGGAATCTCAGACACACGTAAGTAGAATGTACTCTCCCACATAACCTGATTTTAGGTCTTTGGAAAAACTAATGGAGCTTCACTACAAGAAAGCCTTAAAATACTTGCATCCAGAGGTAGAAATGGAAGTACTATCTGCTCTTTGATTAACCGATTAATTTTAAATGCATAAACAAGTTTCCTTAAGCTTATTTTTTAAGAGTCCAGCAAGGTTAAGGTAATTTTAGCTAAAAGTAAATGCTGGCTTTTATTAGTTTAATTCAGTTTCACCTTAAAATAATGCAGGTGTGTTAATATTATTTCCCAGTAAGTCAGAAATGCTCAGTTATTTTATAATATAATAGAACCAGCAAACTAACACATTTTAAGCTCTGTAACCAGTTAACTAAACAATTGTAAATACAGGACTGTTTGAAGCCATGGAGATCTCAGCATGCCTGCAAGCTTCTTGTCAGAGGTGGTTAGTGAGGAAAGAGAAAGAATATGAGAGCGAACCTGTATGTGCCTCTGCTTTACAGGGTGGAGGGAAGAGATGCGTAAGAACAGAAAGTGCTGATTCTTCTCATTCATCCTTTTTCTGCAGTCAGCAACTGCGAAGATCAATTCCAATTGGCCTCATTTAAGGTTTTAGAACAGCTAGGAAGAGCACATTCCACCTTTCCTCTCAACACATTGAATTCCCATCCATTAATCTAGATGAGGAAAAATAGTTCAAGGACAGTTGAATTTTTAGCTAGTTCTTCTCTAGAACTCTTCCAGAGTTTTCCTTCCCCCAGTCACCTCTAACTTCTCAATTTAATTTCTTTTTTTTTTTTCTTTCTTACTGGTAGTTTGGCATTTTGTCTAGCCCTTCTTACATTATTGATGACTGTTTTGCAGAACTACTTTATTTGATTTTATTAGGTTGGTATCCTGGAACAAAGGACATTCTCTGCAATAACTCAGTTCCAAATTCAACTACATTTATTATGGGGACAAGAGGGGAAATTTCAAAGAAAAATACGAGGTTTCATAAAAATAGAGACTTGGATAAGGGAAAGTCTAGCTTTTGAGCATGCAAAAATTAACCTATAGCACAATACATGGGCTGTTCCATTCCTGTGGCTAATTTGTGTAGCTGGATAAAACATTTTTCATGTTTTTACCAAATAAGACAAAAGCAGATACAATTTTTTTTTTATTCAACTAAGACACATAACCTTGGATGAACTGGCTTTCTTGGTTCATGTGCTAAGAGAAGTATTTCTTACTGGGATTCTGTTTCTGGACCTAAAGTGCTCCTCTGTTCATAAATACATGAAGATTAAGATGAGAAAATATTAATAAATTACCCACTTCCACTATATAGCAGGTGGAAATCCACCTGGAAACATCTGTTTGGGTACACTGCATGCTGTGCAAAGGCTTTCAGTATTTTTTTCATGTCATCTTGAGACACTGAATCCAGTTTCCTTTCCTTTGCTGGAAAAATGTATGGATGTTGCTGTCCAGTTCAATTTCACTGGTTAGCTTCTGGCCCTCTTTCATCTTTCTCTGCTAGACTAAAGGACTGCACGCTAAAGTTTATACATAGTCATTTTTTCCTTTACTATTTACAAGCGAGATTAATTAGACCTTTAAGTTAACTTTTACTAACACATTCCCTATATTTCTCCTGTTTCCTAATTTGCCATGTCTCTTCAGTGAGTCTTAAAATATTTTTTTTTTCCTGTTAAAATGTTAATTTTTGCTTTTCCTTCTTGTATTATGCCTGGGCTCATACCTGTATTCATTGATTCTGTACATGGTCTAATATTTGCACAAATATCTACAGTACAATTGCACCAGGACATGAGAAGAACACAGCATGTAAATATTGTTCTTATATCATACCACTCTATCTTGGCTTGGGGCTGTAGAGGTGTGGTGGTTTGGGCCCAACATGACAACAAAGGAACAACCCCATGGCTGCTCACTTAAGTCCCCCTTCCCCCCAGACACACACACTCTGGGATGAGGAGGACAAAGCTCCTGGTCCAAGACAAAGGACAAGGAGGGATCTTCACCGATTAAGGTCCCAGGCAAAACAGACTCAACCTGGGGAAAAAATACCAATTTAATTCCACACTAATCAAACACACAGGACACAGACACACACAGAGCAGGGCTTGCAGATGTTATCCCACCCCTCCCTTCTTCCCGGGCCCAAATCCCTTTGTTCCCGGTTTCTCTCCCTCCTTCCCCCCAGCAGCACAGGGGGACAGGGGATGGGGTTTAGAGTCAGTTCACAGGCTGGGGGAGTCCTTCCCACCAGGTCCGGAGCTGCTCCAGCCTGGGCTTCCCACAGAGTCACGGGGGCTTCGGGAACAGCCACCTCCTCTCGCGCCGGGGTCTTCCACAGCTGCGTAATCAGAGTCCACAGGCAGAAAATCCACTGGCCACAAAAGCCAAGTCCACTGGCCAAGTTCACCCCTGCTGGTGCCTTCAGGGAATGTTCTACCACATTCCTCCACGAGTGCAGGGGGACATCCTGCCGTCTCACTGTGGGTTGCAGGGTAGCTTCTGCTTGGGCACCTTCTTCCCCTTTTTCCTCCCCAGCCACCAGCACTGCTCTTCTTCCCCAGCACAGCTCTTCTCCCCTCAGTCATTCTCTGCTCACGTGTTACCTCTGTTCTTTCATATGTTAATTGCTGAGGCACATCTATTGTTCCTCTAATGGCTCCTTGGCTGGTTTTGGAGCAGGGGGAGCTTCTCAGATTCTTAAGGGAGGCACTACTGTGGCCCTTCCCAGCTACCAAAAACCCCACGAAACCAAACTAGAACAAGAAGGAAATTGCTTTTTTCAGTCTTCTTTCAGCCTCTCTCAAGATCACTTACTAGACTGATGATTTATCAAATTAGACTTCTTTTTCATTACAAGGTAGATATTCAGAGTGAACAGTTGAACTGGTTTTGTTGTTTTTGAAATACACCATTTCCTACCCATCCTTTGACAGACCGGAGCCAATGACTTGCAGACCAAAGCTGACCGGCTGGTACAAATGAGCATTTGTGCTTCCCTGGCACGGAAGTTTCCCAAGGTGACCATCATAGGAGAAGAAGTAAGTGCCTACTTTATTTCATACTAACAATTTCACCTGCAGTGGAATTTGCTTTGGCAGGTTTTAATAAATCATCTGTTTAAAAAAAAAAGTATTTCCATCCCATTTCATCTTTCCATTGCATTAGCTTTGTCAAGTAAGGTGCAAGTGAATCCACAGTTCTCAGGCAAGTCCAGGTGAGTCCAACATCTTTTTTAAATAATTTTGAGAATCCTTTTTTTTAGGAACTGTCCACTGATGAGGTAACGGAGGAATTAATTGAAGACGGTCACTGTGAAGAAATACTGAAGAGCACCTGTCCTGCTCAGTACACAGGAATTAAAGAGGAAGAGGTAATGTGGTAATGCTTTACACAAGTCTTCATATTTTATACTTTATCTATATTACATATTGGTTGTAGGTAAGAATGTATTAAGACAAAAAGTTATTTTTATGTTGGAAACTTTTTCTTTTGGTTTGAAAACTGAAAGGTAATCATGAGAATCACACCACCAGAGCTGGAAGTGCTGCATACCTCTGTGTGCAATAATGGGAAATGGAAACCTGTTCCTTACAACTTGTGATTCAAATTTATTTGGAAGGAATCTACTTTTCTCATAAGAAAGTATTGTCATTTCCATTTTCAGTTTAAGCCTAATATTAGCTGAGAAGTTCCTGTCAGTTCTTAAGATTTTTTGTGTAAAACAGTATTGTAGACTTCAATCGTATCATAATGTTAACAATTTGAATCTCTTTCCTCACTACCATAAGGAAATAAAAGCACTAAAGTAAAATATGTACTTTGCGTGATCATTTACTTGATTTGTATTTACCTAATTTTCTTTTTTTTTTTTTTTTAAGCTTGTAATATGGGTTGATCCTTTGGATGGAACCAAGGAGTACACTGAAGGTTGGCTTCCCGTTAATTCTGCAGATTCAAAAAAAGAATACAGCAGTGTCATAAAGTAGCATGTACAGGCAGATAGTTATATCATAGAAGTTACGTGCACTATTGTTTCATAGGGCTGATGTTGTTTCTATGCTTTTTGAGTTCTATGGAATTTTTTAATAATTTCATTTCATTCTAACCAGTATCAAATATTTCTGATGGGAATTCCCACCAGTTTTTAACATTTTGGGGAGCAAATTCCTGCCTTTGAGTGCTGGCAGGTCATCTCAAGTTTTTGGTCAAACTTATGATTTCACATGTACTTTGAACTAAGGAACTAAATCACCCATTTATGTAGGAATATGCTCAATTATATTTACATCCTCCTCTTCAAACAACCCAAATACTACAGCTGTATTTATAGCCCTTTCAAAATAAAGCAGCGTCTTCCCCTAAATCGTAATTCCTCAGTTATGGGAAGAAACTTCTCGTCCTGTCACTACATGGCCTTGTAAAAAGTCCCTCTCCAGATTTTCTGTAGCTGCCCTTCTGGTACTGGAAGACAGAGAGCAGGGGATTGTTCAGCCTGGGGAAGAGGAGGCTCCAGGGAGACCATATAGCAACCTTCCAGTACCTGAAAGGGCTACAGGAAAGCTGGGGAGGAGTTTTTACAAGACCATGTAGTGATACAGTGAGGGGAGTAGTGGTTTTAAACTGAAAGAGGGTAAATTTATATTAGGTATTAAGAAGGAACTCTTTAGTTCGAGGGTGGTGAGACACAGGCACAGGTGGCCCAGAGAGGCTGTGGATGCTACATTCCTGAAACTGTTCAAGGCCAGGTTGGATGGGGCTTGGAGCAACCTGGTCTAGTGGGAGGTGTCCCTGCACATGCAGGTGAGTTGGAACTAGGCAATGTTTAAAGTCCCTTCCAACCCAAACCATTCTATGATTCTATTAAATTATATTCAGCAGAGCCTAATTTGTGTCCACAGAAATAGACCCTAAAATGAAGAAAAAAACCAAAACCAAAACCCCCTAAAACCACTATGTTGAAACCTCACTTTAGCCTTCTACTGCATCTTAATGTAAAATCTTTCAGGCAGATTTTTTTCCCCCTTTTCAGGGAAAGATATGTGCAACTGTCAAAAAATTGCTAGTTTTGAATACCATCGAAGAATTCACACCAGTTACAGAAGAAAGTCATAATATACTGCTTTTTAGTTGTATCTTTAAACTTCTTTCTCATTATGTGTTAATTATAATGCAGTTCTATTAAGATAATTCTTTCTGGGGCATTTTTTTGTAGACCTCAAGGATAAATGACTAAAAAAATATATCAACCTGAAAATCCTAATTAGTATTTGCATTTTTAAGATACCAACAAACTCTGCATAAGAATTTGTGAACTTGCAGTGAAGGGTTTTTCTTTTATATCTATATATACACACAGGCATATATATACACACACACACACACACACTATTTCAAGCATAACTATATTTGTATTATTTCTGTACAGGTCTGCTTGACCACGTAACAGTCCTTATTGGAATTGCTTATGGAGGCAAAGCAATAGCAGGAGTTATTAACCAGCCATATTACAACTATGAGGTAATAAATGCATTGATTTGTTGCAGAGCATTGGGTGATTTCTAACTGTCACTTCTAAGCGATTTCTAGTTTGCACACTTTCAACTGAAAAGCAGTGTGTAGTGGAGTTTATGTTGTAATACAAGGTCGTGGATTTCTTATTAAATATATACAATTTTGAATGTCAGTTTCCAGCAACTGGATTTCAGGGCCCTATGAACGGCCATACTGAATCCTGAGGCTTGTGTAATACACTAATACAGTGTATGTTACTTTCATACTGTACATATTACTGCAGTACATATAAAGTACATATGGCAAAACAAGTGCAAATGGGTAGAAATTCTGTACCAAATCTTTGCAATAGGGGCATGTGATGCGTGGTACCTGCAGCCCCAAATAAAATAAATCACTGACAGCTGGCCTAGAATGTATCAGGGCAGGTTCGAAGTATAGGTCCAGAATGGCCAACCTCCAGGCCTTCCAACATGCTTGGAGATTATTTCAGTATTATCTGTGGCTCAAAAAGCTGAAGATGCAGTCTCATTGATTAAACTTGCTATAAAGAAAAAGTTACTGATCTGATGTAGTGCATTTCATCAGCTGATTCTAGAAGCGCAATGTGGTATCTATGACAAAACATATAAAATGACAAGGTATTTTCAGTTACAGATTATGCCTGAAGTAGAGAAATATACAGATATCCATTTGCCAGTCATTAGAGGCAGGACATATTACATCACCATAA